CGCCACCTTTCTCGTTGGTAATCCAAAGGATCGAGAGGCTCTGATGACACTTGTTGGTCTTGGACACTAGCCCGTGTCAAAGCAACCAAGATTTTGGCTGTACGTGGCAGTGGAGCTGTCATGACATCCAGGGCAGAGGGGCATCCAGGATTGCCCGGACAACTTTCTTCATCCTGGGTGACAACGAATCCTGAATGACTAGTCGCCAGGTGGCCCTCGGCCGACTTCATCAACTTCTCTTGAATCTTGGATACTCGCTCCAGGTGTAGACGCTCCCCATCTTCTTGGACACTCCAGGATCTTCCAAGCAACAGTGTCTTGGAAGTCAGGTAGTCTGCTGTCTGATTGAAGTCCCGCTTGACGTGCACCGGTCTCACCGAGTCGAAACTTTGCTTTCAATACCTCACAGCTGGCCAATCGTCTTTGCAAGTAAGGCTGATTACAATTGATCAGACCCTGTACTTGCTGGATGACGATTCGTGAATCACCCACAGCGATCCAGTCTCTGACGCCCCTGGCTTGTGACATGGTTAAACCGTTCAGGAGTCCACAGTACTCGGCATCATTCACAGTAACGTCTTCCAGGATGAAACCCTGTGCATCTAGGATTTTCCATCCAGGGAGTTCCCACAAAACACAACCGCAGCTACCTTGTCGGGTAGACGTCTTGGCAGCGCCATCGAAACTTAGAACGATGCCCTGGAAAGTATCCTCCAACATCTCTACGCTGATTATTGGCGGCGGTTTCGCACGCCCCTTGGCCGGGACGAGTTCCTCGGCGACTTCGTCTAAATGTTCTCTTGGTGTGTTACCGGCGCCCAGGATGGCGGCTAATCCATCTTCGTCTCGCTGGATCTTCCTAACATCCAGATTCCACTGTGACAGTAAAACGCCCCAGGGTACACATCTCCCATCTGCCGTCTTGGATTTCATGATCCACTTCAGAACCGAGTGTCTCGTGTATACAATGAAAGGACAGCCCTGAATGAGTGTCCTGAACACCTGTAGTACCCTCAGCACGGCGATGACTTCCTTTTCTGCGATGTGATACCTCAATTCCGCATCGTGGAGAACCCGCCCCGTAAAACGCACAGGCTGGATCAAACCATCATGGTCTTGGCCCAGGACCGCACAGGCAGCCCACTGATTTGCATGGTATAATGACAAATGGTTTGGTCCTGTCAGGGTGCCTCAACACCGGGGTCGACACGATCTTGTATTTCAGGATTTCAAACGCCTGCTTTGCCCTGGATAGATCTTCGCCCTGAACGCACTTGGTCATCCGAGAGCTCATACAGGGAGGCTGCAACCACGGGATAGTCTTCGATGAATTTATGATAATAATTCAGGCTGCCCAAGAAAGATTGCACTCCCTTCAGGGTAGTTGGGAACGGTAGATCCTGGACTCCCTTAGCAATTTTCGGTGTTGCCCTGATTCCTTCAGCGCTAATTTCGTGCGACAGATACGGAATGGACAGTTTCCCGAACTCGCTCTTCGGCAGACTCACTGAGATATTCCATAATCGGAGCCTATATAGCAGAGCATCCAAGTCAGCTCACAACGCATCCCAAGTTGGTGCGCCATGCGCGATATCATCGATATAAGAGCTACGCCCCAGGGCAGGTGACATCTGGGTTGGGGCAGGAATGTTCCTTTTGAACACTGTCATTTGGTCTGCCAGGGTCGGCAACAACCGAAAAACCGAGAAGCATGGTCGTTCTCACAACCGCTGCATCCTGGAGTGCCACATCCTGGAGGTCCATCATCCTGGGGGTCCAGATTCAGATAATCCAAAACTTCTTGGTCCACTTCCGCCTCCTCTTCTGGTGGCAAACGCACGAATCCCCACAGGCAATTATTGATCACTAGCTGGTAAATCAGGGGTGCGTTTTTCAGACCAAACGGCATTCGATTCCACTGAAAATGTCCAAACGGGCATACAAAAGTCGAAATCAACTTGGCTCTTTCGGTCATCTTGATTGCCCAGAAACCGCTGGCCATATCCAGGCTCATGAACCAGAGTGCCTTCTCAAAACCAACTAGCAAGTCGTCGATGAGAGGTAGCGGGTAGCTAGACAGCTGGATGAAATTATTCACAAGTCGATAGTCAATACACATCCTGATGTCCACTCCATTTTTCTTGAGCACAATCACGATCGGGGATGCCCACTGTGACTCTGAATGTTCAATCAGATTATTCTCGAGCAATTTCTTGAGGAGCTCGTATACCTTGACTGCCACATGTGGTCCAATTGACCTTGGGCGCAACGCGATAGGTTTGGCGCCTCCTACATCGAGGTCACATACCACTCCTCTAGCGGGAGCAGGAGCGGCATTTCCGTCGCCCAGGAACATCTTCCTATGGCGCTTCAGGATTGCACGCATCCTGGATTCATCTTCGGGGGAAGTCTCACCTGGGACCCCCACATCAGCCTGATCGATGTCGCATTCTGGGTGTAATTCGCTCAATTCTGGCAGCATGACCAACTGGTCCCGTAACTGTGCCAGCATCTCGCTCCCTTCATGTATGTACACACCTGGTTCCAAATCCAGGTCTTCTGCGCTGACCCTCACACAGCGTTCGTATTCCATCTCCAACTTCTCGAGTGGTGTCCAGTGCGCTGGTTCTGGGGAAGATTCTGAAGTATCCTGTTCAGGGTGTCTACCTTTGCGGGCGTTTCGCCCGCCCTATTCTTCCTCGAATTCCATAGTCCACTCTGGAGGCACATCCACAAAAGTGTCACCTCGGTCACCATCCAGGATGTCGCCATCACCAGGATTACACCCTGGACTGTCTAGTTGACTTTCACTGACTTGTGTGGAGGCATCCATCCTGGTTGTCACCGGGAGACTTTCTTCTGTCTGTGTACCCGTATCCACCAACTCTCCACGATTCAACACCTTGAAGCGTGGGGGGTGCCATTCTGACTTCAGCGGACCCTGGTTGGGGCCTTAGCATGATCTTGGT